CACGTGATTTACTACAAATGAAGAGTGATGCAGTTGCTTAATGGAGTGATGCGTTTGCTTAACGTGAATACGTAAAGCATTTTTTTATCTTGATTAAAGAAGTAGAGGAAAGATTGAAAGAGATTCAGGTAAATGTAAATAAATAAAATATTGTTTTCAAAAAAACATTCGATGTTTTTTGTTTAGATTGAACTTGAATGTGAGAAAAACCAAAAAGGTGATGAAGAAAAACAATTACAGAAAGGAAAAGAAAAATTTCGATGGTAAAAATTATTCTTATCTTTAAAATGAATTTGATTGATCTTATAATTTTATGTATAATAGGCGATCGGCAATTAGTCAACGTCAAAAAGAAAAACAACAGTTAAGAAGTAAAGGAACTGCTGAAGAAACACGACTTCAGGTAAATAAAACCATCTCTTTTTTCCATCAGTATTTTAAAAAAATTGTCTGTGTTTAATAGAATGAACGTCAAGCATCACAACATCCAATGATTGGCAGAATGTATACGCTACGCCAAAGCGTAGAGAACGTTTTCGGGTTTACGGCAAATACATCAGCATGTAAATAGTCGAATGAGCAATGGATAAATGGTATTGATATTTGTGAAAAGGTAAATAGATACTCAAGAAGAAATTTCATTACTGAATTTCGTTTTGATATACATTAAACTAGAATGATGATATTTTATCCGATGAAGATGAACTTAATTTTGGTAACAACAAATTATCTACAAAATGAACAATCATCGTTATCACAAATTCGTGATGAAAATCCCCTCGAAGCACATAAATTAGATTCCGAGGTACTTTGGTCAAATGCTCTATTAAAAGCACAAGGTGCCACAGTCCGTGATAAAGTTCAGATGTTAAAAAAATCAATTAAAAAGCAAAAGAAATTAAAACAACGGTCAACGAAAAAATGGCAAGAACGTCTAGAACAAACAGAAAAACTACATAGTGATAAACAACAAAAACGAGTAGAAAATCTTCAAAAACGAAAAGATGAGAAGAAAGCAAAACAAAAGAAACGTGCAATTAAAAGAGGACGATTAGTTAAATGATAAATAATTAGTTAATTAATGAGATAAAATTTTGTTAACTTGTTCATGTGAACAGGCTGTTTTTATAGTATGTTTGTTTCTTGTATTCAAACAGTTCTTTTCGTGAATGGAAAATAAAACTATTGTTTTACGAATCCTCTTTTTGCTGGTTACATTATAAAGAATCTATTCAAGCCAAACTTGTCTGAATGTAATTTACACTTGCTCGTTTTTTGCCTTTCGATAGTCAAGACCAATACATATGATTTCAAAATCTTTCGCAAAAGTTTGTTTTTTTCATGGAATCTTTAGAAAAGTGGATCATGATTTCGAAGCTCCCATACAAATATTTTGGTTTTCCTTCATAGATAGATAGCCCAAAACATCTAAAAAATTGGAGTCATAGCTCAAAATAGTAAAATTGGAGTCATCATCCATCCCGGCTGAGATGTGGTATCAAGTTTCCTAGGAGTACAGAACTACTCTTCTCTGACTCCTAATACCCTAAAAACCTGATGATTCATAGATACTGATTCATGAGAACGTTTATTTTTCGCAAAAACGTCAAAAACCTATTTGGAGATATATTAAACGAAACAGCCCATCGCTGGTTATTTCTACTGAAAACCAAATATGCATAACCCAATCAAAAC